GATGATACTGATGATGATGAGTCTTCATGACGTGACTTCTTGCTTGGGATCATGTATTCTTGAGTGACATTATCTTCTTCAATTCTCTTTATCTTCTTACTCTCTGCTTGAAACACTGCCCTAATAATATACCAGCTAACTCAATTATAATAATACACTCATCAGTAATGGGACTATACACAATAACAGCAATATACAATAGGACAAGTATCTCATTAACATACAAGTAGTAAGTACCAATCATCATCCCTGATAATATAAGCACTATCATACAGATTGATATATGCTACTAATATAACATTCACCAGTTTACTATACTATACAGTAATACTGGGCCTGTATAGTGTGCTTAGTGACTGAAGGGATGAAGTAATACACTAAAGATGCTGTCTAGTCACTAATTCATAGAACAGATCTGTCCCTGTAAGACACTCTCACAACACTCTCCCAATGAAAGGAAGTACATGTGTGTCAGTCTGTGTGTTACTATGTACAGCCAGTGAAAGGTAAGACTAGGATTAGCTTATCATGTGTATACACGCAATGAGACCATTCATACTCCATTCAAGTCTACTATTATTAGTGAACCTAAGGACCATTCTTCATGTACACTCTCCATAAAAATGGGCTATGTGTGTGTGTGTGCATATTGTTCACAGGTGAGGTTGTTTGTTAATGGTTTACTTTGCAAGTGCATCAACAATCTGTTCCTCTTCTTGTGACTCTTCCCTCTCTTTCTCGAGGTGTTTCTCCATTAGTTGTTCAAATGAGACTCCTTCCTGTTGAGCGTTTATGTCCTTTATCTCTTCAAGCACGTCAAGAATGTCCATCTCTCTCCTTGACTCTTTGGTCCTGTTTTCTAATGCCTAATGAAGAAGAGAGAGGGAGAGGGAGAAAGAAAAGTTTGAGATAAAATTAAACAAACAATTAAAGAAATTAAGGTATTAATTATTTTGAAGAATAAAGAAAACTAAAAAAGAAAACTACAATACAAAGATCAGAATTACTACTCTAGTTTAAACACTAATTATTGTGATTAAACTATTATACCAGCATTGGGTTGTTGGCCTCCTCTTCTTCTTTCTCTTGTTGCTTGCGCTCAATCTCTCTCACAGCAATGGCCTCTGCTTGAAAAGTTCTATAAGCACCAGCTTCAGCAGCATAATCAGTATTCTCTGGATCTGTCTAATGAATAAGGAGAGATACAGAAAAAAGATAAGGAGGAATAATATATGAGAGAAAGAAAGACAGCGTAATGAATTACAGTACATTACAGTAATTTTTAATAATATAGCATTGACTATGACTCCGAGGAACATAGCATAAGGACATCAATATGTATCAGAAAATGTAATAAAAATTGGGAGTAATTTTGGAGCCATTTTTTGGAAAAAACCATGGGCTATAGCCTTAGATATTTTTCAAAAATTTGCTAATTAAAAAAATGGCCATAACTCGAAAAATTGAAGCTGGAATCGGCTCAAACTTTCTACATAGCATAAGGACATCAATATGTATCAGAAAATGTAATAAAAATTGGGAGTGATTTCGGAGCCATTTTTTGGAAAAACCATGGGCTATAGCCTTTGCTTTTTTCCAAAAATTTGCTAATTTAAAAAATGGCCATAACTCGAAAAATTGAAGTCAGAATCGACTCAAACTTTCTACATAGCATAAGGACATTAATATGTATCAGAAAATGTAATAAAAATCTGGTGTGATTTTATAGCCATTTTTTTAGAAAAAAACCATGGGCTATAGTACAGGAATTAATTTTTTCAAAAATTTGCTAATTTAAAAAATGGCCATAACTCGAAAAATTGAAGTCGGAATCGACTCAAACTTTCTACATAGCATAAGGACATTAATATTTATCAGAAAATGTAATAAAAATTTGGTGTGATTTCGGAGCCGTTTTTCAGAAAAAACCATAGGCTATAGTACAGGGATTTTTTTAAAAATTAGCCCATTTTAAAAAATGGCCATAACTCAAAAAATTGAAGTTGGAATCGGCTCAAACTTTCTACATAGCATAAGGACATCAATATGTATCAGAAAATATGATAAAAATTTGGGGTGATTTCAGAGTCATTTTTTGGAAAAAACTATGGGCTATAAGCTTGTAGTTTTTTCCAAAAATTGGAACTTTTGCTTTTTCCAAAAAACTGCTACTTTTAAAAAGTAATCAAAAATTTTAGTCGGAATTGGCTCAAGCTTTCCACACAAAATATGTACATGCATATGCATTAGCAAATGTAATTCCCAAAAAAATCCAGTTTTGATAGGAATCAGCTAAAATTTGATACACAGCATAGATTTTTATGTACAGTAGATCTAGTATTGTACACGTACAATTGCATTGCTACAGTCAATGAGAGGTGGAGTGCTTCTGCTGAAGCTAAAGGAGAAACTAGTAAAGTTACATCTCCAGTTACATCAAGAATACAAGTCTTTGCGAGATGGTGAAAGAGCTAGTCAGCTAGATCTAGAGCTGAACTCCTGCAGGGCTGGGATTTGGGTGGGGCTGGGGGCTAGTCGATAGATGAGCTGGCTATGTTAAGTATGTTTTGAGCTGTTTTTTATATGAGAGTGACTAGACTGAATACAATTTAAGTTTATAGCTTCAGGATGGACTGGCACACCTGACTAACTAAAGACAGGTAGATGTAGATCTATAGATCTATGTGATATTCTAATTAATGCTCATCCAATGACTCCATGTTCTACTATTTAATTTAATTATTATTTTTTACATGTAAATAACTTGTACTTTTATGCTATATGGTATATGTACATGCAAATTGTATATTGTATACTTGTAAAAAGCCAATACCGTAGGGCGCTTTTTTTTGAGGGCTGTAAATTTTAAAGATTTTGCGATTTTTTAAACATTTGCAAAAATTGCTTCTACAAAAATCAAATTGATATGGTACAAGATGGCAGACAGCATAAATTTGTGAAAATTAAATCCGCAAAATAAAAATTCTTGAAATCTATATCCCTTGAAGAAAAAGGCGCCCTACGGTATATTAATTTACACCATTTCGTGTTATTTTATGATTATGCCCTTTCATTTACATTATTGTATGTGTACATGTGTAAGCTCCTCCCTCTCCTTATTCTGATCCAAGTAAAGCAACAGCCAGTAAAGGTGTACTCTCTCACTTGGAGAAAGCCAAAGAAGGAGATGAGAACACATTTGATTTGATAGAGAAACAATTTGAAGAACAGAAAGACATTTGCTCAGAGAATGCTAAGGTCTACGAGAAACTAGGTAACCTTGGAGCTGCCTCTCAATACAAGAACA